TCGCTGAGCCGCTGGGTGTGCGTGTGCGTGCTACAGGCGAGATATTCAGAACGATGTGAATGTTGTACTGGGCTGCTGTGTACGCAGACGAAGTATTTAGAATAATTAGAATGTTGTACTGGGCTGCTGTGTTTACAGGTAAGATATTCAGGACGGTGAGAATGTTTCAGTGTACATTTTGATACCTTGAATGTTTAAAGCTCTTTTGAAAGTTATTGTTCCACGTAAAATGAATTTGTAACTGATTACAACAACCTATAGAGTGACTCAAAAATTAAACATTAGTTTTAAATTTTCAATTCAAGTAGCATATTGATTTACTCGATGAAAAATATTAAATTCCTCTGATATAACCAGCATAATCATGTTGTATATTTTATACCTGTTTATACTGTAATGAATAAGGTGAAAAATACACGGTGTTCCAAAATTATCTTTCCTATTTGAAAATTTAGTAATTAACTGGCCCTTGTACTGGTACTATGACTGATTTTCTTGACATATTAGTCTATTAACAATTTCTTATTATTCAAGTCTCAGTTTAATTATTATTCCAGCTTTTGAAAGATAGACTCCTCTAGGGCTAAATTTTATTTTATCTTCATGTCTGCTAGGAAACCTGACTCTTTTGAGCATATTCTATTTTAAAGTGTATTTTGATTCTAAATTTTATAGATATCCTCCTACGTTTGTAGCTCAGATTGACCATGTAGTTTAGACGAAAAGTATCTTTCATGAACTATTTAAAGTAAACTTTACCTTTAAAGGTCTTGTAAATGAGTATAATTTCTTTGTCATTCTTATGAATAATATTCGCAGCTTTCTTGTACAGCTTTTTAGTCCATGTTTGCTGCAGCATGTCCACAGCTACAGTGGCGATGGCGTCTGTTATCCTGGTGTTTAGATCCGTGATGTTTGCTGTAGGTGTGCGATAGACGATATCCTTAACATATCCCCATACTTCTTTACGGTAGTGGCATTTGTAATTACACTGCATCACAGTCACTAAGTAGGTTTTTGAAAGCCAAACGACGCATTTTACGGGATAACACTAATCACTGGAGTGATGAAAAAACAAAACAAAATGATAATAAAAACTGTTTGAATTAGGATACAAGATGTTGAAAACTGCATGGTTGTATTTCCTTAATTATTTAATTATCAAATTTGAAAATAGGAAAGATAATTTTGGGTCACCTTGTATCTGTATATGTGTGTGTGCACCAATACTGATCAAAATACTAACAGCTTAAGTATTAATGTAATCATTTAAGTATCAGTAGACCAAAATGATTTAAATAGTAAACACATTTGCGACCTACGAGTATATTGTTGAAGATGCTAATTCATAACAATTGGTTACCGATAATTGTTAAGTGCACACTTCAACAGCAAAATAGTCCAAATTTATTTCAATTAGTAAGTGTTTAAAAATTCCATTTTGGTTTTTAATTAATTTTTCAGGAGTTTTCGTATTGTCTATACTATATCACGAACATGGAAATAAAAAAAAAAAGAACTGTACATACATAGAACTGTTTAACACTGAACAAATGGTAGTGTTCATTTCATATTTTAGTTGTTCAGAAACCCGAAATAATTAGTTTTGTATTTGGATAATTGGAGTAACTTTTAAATGATATTTCAGTTTATAGAGATGTAGGACAAGTGTGCGCATGCTTGATTATAATTATGCATTAATATTTGACGTCATAGATTGTTATAACAATAAATCACTTTAAAAACCTATACAAAATGCTCGCATACTTGTAAACTTCACGTGTAGTTATTCTTATACCATGATTTTATTTATACTTCGATATTATTAACAAGATAATTGTGCTATCTCTCATACACACAAATACTGTTTTTGAAGTACAAACATTTTTTTTCCGATAGGATTAAGAGTCATCATTCAAAACTCAGCATTTTCTAAAGGGTAAAAAAATATCGATTTGCAAATAAATGAGCAATTTTTCAAATGTGTTTTCGTAAGTTTTTTTGTTGAAAAATTACGTTACTATCATTAATTATTTTAGATAAACATGGAAAGAAATGAAGCTGTAAACCAAGCAATATCCTAACACAGAATTTAAATACTTTTCCATCCCAGTGGAATGAAAAGCTGAATAGCAAATATCTGTCAGCATTAGCTGTAAGAATGAAAAATCACGTTGATAATTTTAGAATATACATTACGCAACAGAGAAAGTCATCACCATTCGAGCCTAATGGCA